GATCATGATACTGTGCCTGGTGATGTGCTATTTCCATGGATGGTTCGCCACGCGGCTTGGAGCATCAACTGACAGCAGGTGCACGGAAGGACCAAGGCGACGGCCTACCAGGTCTTGAGAGGACACGTACACATCCAAGATCGTGCCATTCGGGGAGCTTGTGATGATCAGAGTTTCCATCGAGCCAGAAGGTGTGCAAGAAGCTGAACGTGCAGTAGATCAAGGGCGCGTGGGTTGGATGTATGGAGTGGAGCGATGCCCACGTTGTGCTCATTCAGCATGGCATCGTGACGGGCAAGGCGGTGAGACATTTACCAGACGAGGTAAGTTCGAGAGGGTGCTGTACGGGAAGCTGGAGGACAACGTTGGAGAGAACAGCATGAGTCAGGCGGCCCTGGTGCGCATCCTACCCATGGAGATTCAGAACATATTGGCGGCACAGGCACCTGGAGATTAGGAGGAGATCGACACGCCAGAAGCCAGCGACCAAATGATGGAGGCGGAGACTCGACCAGAGATGTTGACGGCAGGTGCAGCAGAGTCACCGCCAGCAGCAGCAATGGACATGTATGGTGGAGCCGAGGAAGCACTTGGAGATGCCATAGCTACGGACGCTCAAGGCTTTCGAAGGCCGACCGAGAGCGAGGACACGAGGAGGCGACTACGATTCTAGCCGACGGTCTCAACTATGCAGGCTAAGAATGAGGTCAACTACGGACTCACGCAGAAGATGCTCTACCCGCAGCGCTCCGAGGCCAATGTCCAAGCCTCGAGGCTCGTGAAGATCAAGAGGTTCGTTGACAACGGCTACGTCTAGAATTGGTACTTCGAGGATGCTCGTACTACGGGCGCGAAGATACTTACTGGCACTTGATTGGATCCCCCACACAAGGATAAGCTACGTTACTGTGCCAGGGAGTTCGCCACGACGAAGGATCCCACAGTATGCACCGCAGCAAATGAGAAGGCCACTGTTTCGATGGTGCAGTTGATCGCTGTCAAGAAGGGATAGCCTCATATGTGTTTTAATGCACTGTCGACGTTTACGCAGGCACCCGAGGAGAAGCTCAGATTCATGCGGCCGCCACCCGAATACCAGAAGGATTGCGAGAATGAGACGGTGTGGCAATGCCTGACAACCATCTACGAAAGAAGGCCGGGAGCTCAGAATTGGCAGGATCACTTCTCTAACGTGACTAATTCTAAGGACTGCAAGTTCGATGTCGTCCAGGACTGGAAGTGCCCGAGCGTCTTTCACAGCAGGGTGTTGGACACTACGATCGACCTGCATGTTGACGGTGGTATGACAACGTGTCCCAGCAACGGCCTATCACAACTCAAGAAGTGTATGGACGGCAAGCTGGACCTGGAATGGACAGAGGAGCTGTGGCCAGGTACCGAGACTGAGCATCTTGGCGTTACGCGGACCAGAGCAAGTAAGGGATTTATCATTCACGCGCAGACCAAGCACATCGACACAAGCTTGGCCGACATGGGGATGGAGAGGTGCAACCCATCCCTCTCGCCAAAGCTCGCCAAGAGCGACGATCGGGAGCTGAGCGAGGCGGACGCTAAACTGTACAGGACAATGGTTTGCTAACTCATACTCCTGGCAACGAAGCGACCAGATCTCCCGGCATCTGTTCAGTGGTTATGTGTTATGCCGACGATTGAACAATCCAGACAGCAAGTCCAAGAGGCAGCTCATCAAGCGCATGCGGTACCCGAACGGCAACAGGAGCCACGCGACGTTCTACCCAGTAAACGAGGTACCAAGTAGGATCGACGACTATTGCGACGGCGACTGGGGAGAGATGAGCTGGACAGGAAAAGTGTGATCGGAGGAGCTGGCATGATAGATCGGTGCCGAGTGTATTGCCATAATCGAGGTGGAGAACATAATCGAGGTGGAGATCTGCACACACATTCTCATCGGGCGAATCGAAGATCATGAGCAGCAGCGAGACCGTGAAGGAGAAGCTGGGTACCCCGCACCTCGAGGAGTTTGTTGGAGTGGGAAAAATGCCTATGCACTGCTACACGGACGCGACGGTGTCTTCGGCGTCCATACTTCGACGAGGCTGCGGTCGCATGAAGCATGTGGACATACGGCGCACGTGGTAGGACGAAGAATGTGCGAGAGGCGGCTTCATTCCCAAGAAGGTTCCCCAGGGAGGAGAACCCAGCAGATCTGCTGATGAAAGTCGCAAGCTCGACGGAGGTCAAACATTCAGTGCGAAGGTGGGACTGCTTCCGAACAACATCTTGGTCGACCCACAGGCGATGGTACGTGCAGCGGTTGATACAAGGAGTGCGGTGGGCAAGGTTCTGATCGCAGGGCTACTTTCACAACCAGCTCGGACGACCACGACGGAGACTACGACGACTGAGTCCACTGGAGAGTTCCCGTGGACGTCTCAGCGCTGGTGATGTACATGGGTGTTATGATGATGGTGATGTCTGTCTGCTATGTGTGTTGCAGGGGTCAGCCTGCGACTACCATGGCGGACTACACGCTTGTGCCCAAGACATTTTCACTGGGACTCAGAACATGCCAGGTCAGACCAACGAGAATGTGCCAGCCAAGGAACTAAAGCGTTGGTGCAATCCTGTGAAGTAGGACCCGCGAGTTTTGAAGCCCTGCAATATTTGTTCCTGATGCCTCAATCCTTTCAAAGATGCGTCTTGTTTGAGAGTTTTCGGCGCATAATCCGCGCCCGAGCTTTCCCGAGCTGGTGTTTTTATTCGTCGGCGGTGAGGCGGGGCAATCCGCTCCCGCGTGGCAGCGATGCAGAGGCAATACAAAGCGAATTGGCCGACATGCAGGAAGAGGGAGGAAGAAGGACAGGGTGGCCGCGGGTGGGAAGCGAGCACTCAAAGGCGGAAGACTTCCGCCGTGAGCAAGCTGTGCGGCCCGCGGGCGGCGGGGACGGCGTCCGGGGGGCCGGAGCGCAGTCCAAGCAGACCGCGTCAGCAGGCGAATTGCGACGGGCAAGGGGAACAGTGCAAGCGCCCGTGGACTGCCTCGAGCAAAATGCTTCATGTGTGTTCTTCAGCTGGACGCGCGATGCCATACGCACTCGCGAGGGCGCCAGAGGACGGCGCGTCCGGGCGTCCACTGGGGCGGCAGGGGCACGGCGGCAGTGGGCAAGACCTGCGGGGCGGCGGCGCCATGGCGGCTGGAGGGAGGGGGGGGAGGAGGAAGGCGGGCGAGGAAGGGAAAAGGAGGAAGGCCCGCTGCTGCGGCGACAGCGGCGAGGCGGGGGCACTGCGGAAGCACGAACTCGAGGTGAGCCGCCATCTGGAAACGCGAGGGCCAGCGAGGCAACCGGAGGTGCCAGGCCCGGGGGCGGTCCGCTCGACAAGGAGGTGGGCGCGGCTAAGTAACAAAGGGCGCGGAGTGAGGGCGGGCACCGGCGGGCGCGCGGGGGCACTGGCGGCCGCACTGCGCAGGTGTAGGCGACGGGAAGGGTGCCTGGTCCAGGGGCGGCTGCTGTACACAAGGTGCAGCGGGCCAGGTGGCTGGGGGCGCGGAGACACGCGGGCACAGGCGGGCGCGGGGGCGCCGGCGGTCGCACTACGACGGGGCACGTACGGCGGGGTAGAGGGCGAGACCGGGGGGGGGGCGCGGCAGGAGGGCCGCGCCACAGGGCACCGGGATGGTGCAACAGGCAGGGGAACTCAGGGTCTCGCACCGCTCCGACGGACAGCACGTGACGGCGAGCCAGGAGCGGCGCACGAGCGGCGCAGGAGCGGCGCAGGAGGGGGAGGGGCCACGCGCCGCCCCGACGGACAGCACGTGGCGGCTAGGGGATGGCAGCCGCGCTGGCAGGGAAGCCAGGGAAGCACCGGAAGGGTGCAGCGAACGGGTGAGCAGAGCCACGCGCCGCCCCGACGGACAGCACGCAGCGGCCGCTGACGCTGGGGGCGGCAGCGGTGGGGGGCCAGAGAGATGCAGCGGATAGCTGCACTGGGGAGAGCGGCTGAGCAGCGCAGGGGAAGGAGAAGCCGAATGCTGCCGCAGGGGGCAGCGCGGCCAGCGGGCGCCGGAGGCAGCCACGCTGGTGGGAGACCAGGAACGCACCAGAATGGTGCAGCGTGCGGGTGAAGAGGTGCAGCGCGCCACCCCGACGGACAGCACGCGCAGTCTGCTCCTGGACTCCAGACGTCGTCCCAGGTGATCCGAGCAGGTGAAACATGCAACGCGAACGAGTGTAAATCCGAGAGTTTCGGCGGATGGCGTCTGCTAGGTTGTGAAACACTTCCTGGGGCCGTGCTTCTGGATATGTATGCCCTCTAACTGAGGAGGCATGTCAAGATGTAAGCCTAGGCAATATGGCGTTACAACTCAGAGCGCACAGCATGAGATGTCTGAGTGCGGAGCTTATGCAAAGAGCTTGTTTCAGAGACAATATGAGTTTGGTTTCGTTCAGCAGTCATCCTGGCTCAAAAAGGAACGGATCTGGCAGTCGGACATTAATATAAGAAGGCCCCTGCCCTCGAAGAAGCCCCCCACCTTCTCAGAAGGCCGCCCCCCTCGCGACATGTCCCTCCCAACGCCGCCGACTTTGCGCGCCGCCGAGGACTCGCCCGCCCTCGCTGGGGGACGCTAGCGGGCCGCCTCCCACTGAATCCCGGCCGAGGCCCGTCCTGAGCCCCAAGGGATCGGTGTGCACGCCAACTCCAGGCCACGACGGCGTCTGCCCAAACATCCGGCGTGACGACTCTTTCGGGAAGTGCCTACCTGGAGATCTGGACCCTGGACCCCATCCCTGGGATTGTTTCTTTCATCCTGAGTCGTTTATCCGATCCAGATGCCAAAACGCTGACAAACAACGGGCGTCACGACTATTTCTTGGCGGCGGAAATCTGGCTACGGCTTCGCCGCAAGCCTATGCCCAAGGTCCTGGGCCCAGGATCGGCCCGGCCAGGAGTGGTGGTGGCTGGTCAACCCACGCCCGCCGACCTTCTCGTCGCGCTGCCGAGGGCATGCGCTGCCCTCACTCGGCCGCCAGCGCGCGCGCTCCGTCCTCGGCCGCCTGCTGCGCTGCGTCCAGGGCGGCGTCCACCGGCGCGCGGCAGCGGGGGCAACTGCCGCGCCGCGCCAGCCACGGTTCCAGGCAACCGCGGTGGAACAAGTGTCTGCAGGCCGGCAGCTGCGGCAGCAGCTCGCCTTCGGTAAGGATAAGCAAGGAAGACACCGACTCGACCTTGACATTAGGAAGGGCACGCGGAAGAAGGCGCAAGACTCTTCCAACGGCAGCAGGGCTCTAGGGAGACCAGTGCCCTTGCCATGGGAAGGAAAAACGGAGAGACGCGACGCACAGGACACAGGGGTACCAGGGTCGACCTACTAATCAAGCTCGACGGTACGCGTGGACACTGCTCCTGGGCCCAGCGTTCGGTGTAAGAGAACAGTTGGCGTCGTGTGAACAGAACGACAACATGGATACAAAGTGGAAGAAAGAGGGGCGGGGGGGGGAGGGGGGGAAAGAAAAACAGGGAGGGGCAAGAGGGGAGGAAGGGGGAGGAGGAGGGAAAGATATCTCGCATCAGTTCGACGAGCCGAAATCCGTCTGGCGCGGGGGCTACAAACGCCCTGCCAACCTCATGTGGGAAATGCCGCTGTGCGAGCAAGGGTGGGGAGACTGCCCTCCCCCCTTGCGCGGTCTGGGGGGACCCCGACTGTAAAAAAAGGCGGGACGTGGCGATCAGAGCGTGAAACACCCCGTCTGCACAACCGCATGCAGAGAGACGCCGGCTGCACACACGCTTTGGCATTCGTGATACGGCGCCCTGACAATGGTGGCGCCGCCTTGGGGCATCCCACTCGGCGGCCCTGAGAGAGGTGGACGGAGACGATAAGGTGGGAATATGAATTATCCCAGTGCGACCCTACCTAGGAGTTGGAGCATCTAGGAATGCAACATCTACATCTACACCGACAGCTACATCTATGCTATGCTATGCTATGCTATGCTGCACTTTGCTATGATATGGTATGCTTTGCTATGCTATGCTTTGCTATGCATTTGCTATGCTGCGCTATGCTGCGCTATGCTATGCTATGATGTGCTAGGGTACGCTCGGCTGCGCTGTTTTATGCTAGGCTATGCTATGCGATGCTGCGATATGCGATGCTATGATATGCTATGTTGCGCGATGCTATGTTATGTCTTGCTATGACATGCTGCTAGGCTATGCTATGATATGCTCTGTTGCGCTATGATATTTATGTTATGCTATGTTATGCTATGATATGCTGCGCTATGCTACGATGTGTTATGACATGATATGCTATGATGTGCTATGATCTGATATGCTGCGCTGTGCTATGCTAAACAATGCTATGCTATGCTATGCTATGCTATGCTGCGCTATGCTATGCTATGCTGGGCGTTGCTATGCTATGATTGGCTATGGTATGATTGGCTATGCTATGCTATGCTATGCTGTGCTAATGCTGCGCTGCGCTATGCTGCGCTGCGCTAAGCTAAGCTAAGTTAAGCAAAGCTAAGCTTGGCTAGGCTGAACTAAGCTACGCTAAGCAAAGCTAAACTAAGCCAAGCTAAGCTAAGCTAAGCTACGCTAAGCTAGGCCAGGTTAGGCTAAGCTAAGCTAAGCTAAGCTAAGCCAGGTTGGGCTAAGCTAAGCAAAGCTAAGCTAAGCTAAGTTAAGCTAGGCCAAGCTAAGAGGAGATAAGCTAAGGGGACGTAACTGGGGGAATCGCGGGGCGGATCCTGGGAGAACCGCCCAAGGCGTGGAACACTGCCCGGCCCTTTAAGCCAACACGGTAACAACCCTTCTAGGCAGAGCCTAGGTAGGGAAAAAGAGGAAGCGGAACTTGTAGATAAGGAAGAAGACTGGGGCTGCAAGGGAACAAACTCCCCGTGGGGCATCCGTGTGAGGGTTGAGCCGGAATGGGCGGGAGGGGGCATGCGGACTGGGGGGAGCTCCCTGTGTGGCAGGAGACGTGTGAGGGGTGTGCCGAAATTAAGGGGGGGGGGCGCTGCATGTAATCCAACCCACTGGGATCGCAAGCAGTGCACAGAACGCATTAGCACATAAAAGGTGTTCCGAAATGACGGGCTGTCCCACTGAGACCGTCGCTCCAGCTCCCTGTGGGGCAACGAAAGGTGCGAGGGCCGATGGCACCATGCGTCACACCGCCCCCCACCAGCCGGGGTCCCACGTTCAAAATTGTCGCCCAATTCTTGTTTCAGGTATTTTGATTCGCGGTAGCGCAAAGCCATTGCGCGCGATGGCGACGAGCGCAGTTTTGGTGCTGTTCGGTGGGCTGTCTGGAGCGCACTGGGCCGCGAAATGCCCCAACGAGTGCCCAAAGTTGTGCGCCAAATAGCGTTCCCCCCAAAACGCGCGGCCAACGCGCGTCCACCTTCGGGTCGGGCGCCCCCGCTTCGCTGGGACCCTGTGTTTTCACAGGGATGGACAATATTGTGCATCAGTTTGGGGAAAATGTGCAGTGCAGATTGGGCGGGCCATCGTGGAATCAACGACCTTCCTCTCGCCGCTGAGCCAACCAAAAAAAACTCCATCGCTGCAGAACGGCCCCATCTCCGATCCCTCCACCCAGGCAGAGACTATCGCACATATTAAACTACCACTGTTTGAAGACCCTTCCGTGAAATATGGTCGGGCGGAGGGAGAAAGGACGAAAAGGAGGGGAGGGATGATGGAAGAAAAGAGATGCGGGTCCTGCGGATTCGAAACAACGACCCAACAGACAGGAGGTCTGGGACGAAGGTAAGGGGAGGGGGATAGCTAGGGGGAGGCGGGAGGAGGCGAAGAAACGGGTGCTGCGGTTTCAGAACAAGGATCCGGAAGGGCTCGGAAAAGCTCGGCCATCGATGCTCCCGCCCTTCGTGGGAGGTATCTCGCAGCAACAGCTCACCTTCAGCAAACGCCTCCAGGCAGACGGCGCAGTCCGAGGTGGCGGCCTCGTACGGCCCGCTGGAAGCGCGCCGCCGCCCGCGCCAGCGGACCGTCTTCCCCGGCGGTCTCTGGGTCCCGGCGAAGGGGAGGGGCCTGATTTGCTGGACTTTCTTTTGGGAGGGGGCTCTTGGGTGTGTGTTCTGCCTTTCGCTGGGTCCTCCACAGGGGGAGGGGCATCATCGCCTCGGCCAGGGTCATCACCTCGAAGAGGGGTTCTGAGCCACCCTTGTGGTTTCTCAATCAGCGGGAACATTGAGACTGGCGCTTTCCTGCCAACTTTCCCGCACCATCCCGAGCGAAAATGTAATAATCCTGCCACGTTTCTAAACCTTCCTGCGCGATGCCTGAGTGCCCGTTACTGGGTACCCGTCTCGCTGGCGCTTGGGAAAAAGGAAGGCTGCAACGCCTTTGTCCGCGCCCGTCAACAAACACCTCTCGGTGCCCGAGCATCGGGGCAGATGACTGCGGGGGGGGTTGCGGCGACGGGTGGCGACGCAGGACGACGATGACAAACAAACAACGAACAAAACACAAACGGAGGAACGACTGTAAGCATAGTTCTAGGCCAATGGCACATATTAGTGATAGGACGATCAGAGATCTCAATGGCGGCAATTCCCACGAGCAGGTCTTGCACCCGCCCAGGGCGCCGCTGCATGACGGACCCCCCCGCCGACATGTCTGAATCGTCGTGCTGCAATCGCGATTCAGCTGACTGCACCTGGCTTTGCGGGCGCCTCTCGCTCCTGGCACCCGAGGCGCCAACTTGTCCAGGGAGGTCCCAGCGGAGGGGGCGAAACCACGCGCATGCGGCAAATTCTGTGCCGCCCCTTTCCTTACGCCTCGCCCTCTCTCGTCCGACCCCAGAGCAGCACCGTCCCCCTCCGCTCGCCGCCCCCGCACCCTGAGCAACCCGCGGGGGCCCCGCGACCCAGGGCTCGGGCCGTGGAGTCCCAAGACGAAGGCGGGAGAGGAGACTCGTCCAGATGAACAGAGAATGGGGATCTCAGAGACCCGGCGGGTCTGGAGGAAGTTCTCGGACGCAGCGGCCATTCCAGAGCGCCCTGCGCTATGGAACGCGCTGGGCCGACTTAACACAATCCGACGGGGTTAGCACATCAAGGAAAGAGGCATGTGCGAGTGACGGTGTTGAAAGAAAAAGAAAAATCATCATAACAATTCTCACAATGGCAAATGAAAGGCCACGATATCAGGGAGACTTCGTAGCCCTGGCCACGACACCCATACCACCCTGGTCCTCACCCCTCTTCGTAGCCTCAGGTCGGGCATGTCCCCCAACAGGGAGGTTTTGGGCGACACATTAAACATACGCAGAAACATTACCCCCAAATGCTCAAACATAGTAAAAATTAGTCCCCATACTATTTTTTGACTATTTCTGAATATCCCTCCTGTAAAGGGACACGCCCGACTTAATCGCAGCCCCCGGCCTCACACCTGCCTGAACTCCGCTCCAGTTGGGAGTCGCCCAAAATGCGGCGGCTGGGCGGCTGCCGGAGACCGCCAGGCCTTCAGCGACCGCACCACGCGTTCGGCCACGGGCGC